TTCTCTTCTGTGTGCATCTTGGGAAGGTGTCATATTCTGAGTTACACAAGAATATTAAGCAAACTACTGGAGTATAAATGCTAGAGCGTCTCTTCCTTCTTCCGTCTCCCTTCCTCTCTCTACCTCACTGTGGGTGCTGGGAGAAGGAAGCCAAAGTGGCTAACCTTCCAGGGTTTCTCTCTAGATTTTCTTGGTTTATCTGCTTATTCTCCCTTTTATTACCTTGGCAAAGAAGTCCTGTTGTCATCTTTTTCCTTATAGCAGCTCTTGAAGGCAGAGCAGGAAGAATTTGACTGTCTCTTAAAACAGAATCCAAATAATTAGTAAGAGAAACAACCCCTGGAGGGCTCAGTAAGCGGAAATACCAATAGCTAACCTGTACTCCTTGAAAAGGAGGGGAGATGCTGGCATTTCTTGCTGGGTTTGGTTCTTCTCGTCAGAAATGCCTCAATGATTCTTTCTAGGTAAGCAAAGTCTAAAACCAAACAAAATAAAACAAAACAAAACACAAGTTGCATTTCCCTATCATAACAGGTTGAACTTTTTGATTCCTTACATGTGCTTTTCAGTGCTTTTAGGGAGTGTTTGAATGAATCATAAATGAAGCTCAGTTGCTGAGACACACATTTTGAATAAGGATTTAGTGAGATGGTAATCAGACCTAGCTGCTGATAACAATGATACAGTCAGGTTACCATCTTTCACTTATTGACTATTTAATGAGATCCTATTATTCACATGGTACCATACAAAGAAACATAAAAGGTTGTCCTTGCTCAAAGAAGACATGGAAACTAGAAGGCTAGAGGAAATACACACAAGTCAAAAGCTTGAAGCATATGAAACAGGAGATGCTCAAAATGTAGAACCTGACCAAATGATACAGATAGTAATCGTTTTGAGACCTGAGAAAGGAGATATTCTAGGCCATGAAATTAGTTAACAAAGTATGGAGAGAGCAATGCTCACACAGCACGTTGCTGAGATGTTGACTTAAATAGTCTGGCTAATGGAGGCTTGGGTTTGAGGAAATGAGGTTGGAAAAGCCCGTGGAGGCCTATGAGTTGAGGATAAGAAATGAGTTTTCAACTGTAAGGTTCTGTAACCACTGAAAATTAGAATCTCCTGAGAAACTGAAAGTACTGATGTTTGGATCCTGTACACAGAGATTCTGATTGAACAGGCCTGCGAATCAAGGGTTTTTAAAATTTCAGGTGATTCTAATATGCTGTCAGCTTAAGAAATCTGTTACACGATAGTGATTTTCAACCCTAACTAAATATTAGAATCAAAGGGGGGAATTTTTATGGCAATACTAAAGATGATCCATAGAATGGGAAAAATATTTGCAAATCACATATCTGATAAGGAACTTGCATCAAAAATATGTAAAGAACTCTGATGATTCAACAGTAAAAAGGCAACCCAGTTAAGTAGGCAAATAATCTGAATAAACATTTCTCTAAAAAGGATATACAAATGCTAATAAGCACATAAAAATGCTCAACGTCATAGTCATTTGAGAAATGCATATCAAACCACAATAAGATACGGTTTCATATCCACTAGAATGGCTATAATAAAAAAGATGAACAATAACAAATGTTGGCAAGAATGTGGAGAAATCAGAGCCCTCATACACTGCTGGTAGATATGTAAAATACTGCAGTTGCTTTGGAAAATATTTTGTCAGTTCCTCATAAAGTTAAACAGAGTTAAACCATATGACCTAGCAATTCCCCTCCTGGTATACACCCAAGAGAACTGAAAACATGTCCACACAAAAATGTGCACACGAACATTCATAGCAGCATTATTCATAATAATGAAGAAGTGAAAGCAAATGATGAATAGAAAAAAATTTGGTATATCCATACAGCAGGATATTATTTGGCCATGAAAAGGAATAAAGTTCTGATACATTTTACAACATAGATGAACCTTGAAAACATTATGCTAAATGAAAGAAACCAGACAAAAAAGGCCACATATTGTATGATCCCATATATGTGAAATGCTCAGAATAAGCACATCCATGGAGATCGAAAACAGTTTAGTGATTGCCAGGGGCTAGAGGGAAGGAAGAATGGAGAGTCATTGCTAATGAGCATGGGATTTCTTTTTTGGGGTAAGAAAAATACAATATTCTGGAATCAGATTGTGGCAATCCATTCATAATTTGTGAGTATAGTAAAAAAACCACTGCCAAAGGGAAAGGAGGTGGGGGTGGTGGGCAAAATGGGTGAAAGGGACTGGGAGATATGGCTTCCAACTGTGGAATGAGTAAGTCATGGGAATAAATGGTACAGCACAGGGAATACAGTCAATGATATTATAATATGGTTGTATGGTGACAAGATAATAGCTACACTTGTAGTGAGCATAGCATAAAGTATAAACTCGTTGAATCACTATGTTGCACAACTGAAACTAATGTAACGTTGTGTGTCAACTATAAACAAAGAAAACAAAATGAAACACAACCACTGAATTGTATACATTATATACTTTATTATAAAGTATAATTATAATATACTTTATAAGTATAATTGTATACTTTTTTTTATAAAAAAAAGAGTGGCTTTATGGTACATGACTTGTATCCCAATAAGTTGTTTTAAAAAATGCAAATACATGATACAAATCCCTTCTCCCATCCAGCATAGACAAATTTCATCAGAATTTCTGGAAATGGGACCTGGATAGGTTTTTGTTTTTGTTTTTTAAGTTCCTGGTGTACAACTAGTGTTTAGAACTATATAGGTGATGAAAAGCTTTTAGTGATTTAGTTCTATGCATCTTCCTTCTTCCCAAAGCAAAAACAAAACACCTGAGCACTTGAATTCAAATCCAGGCTAAATTGTAGGTTTTATTTTAATAGATTTTTATTCTATTTGGCTCTTCAGTATGGGTGTGTGGGATGTTGCTTCAAATAACCTTAAAAAATATTTTTTAATGTTTGTTTATTTTTGAGAGAGAGAACGAGCATGAACAGCAGAGGGGCAGAGAGAGAGAGAGAGAGGGAAACACAGAATCCAAAGCAGGCTTCAGGTTCTGGGCTATCAGCACAGACCCTGATGTCAGCCTTGAACCCATGGACCATGAGATCATGGCCTGAGCCAAAGTCAGACGCTTAACCAACTGAGCCACCCAGGCACCCCTAACATTTTTTTTTAAAGAAAATGAAAATAGGTAGACAATTATTAGCATACCCCAAAATAATGGCAAAAATGTTTGGTTCTTAT